CACCCCTAGCAGCACCAGAGTCAGCAGCTACCTCGACAGGGTCGACTGCGTCTACCTGAGACACACCTGAGGGGGCAGGACCCTGAGGGGGGAGGGGGTCTACCGGAGGGGGACCTGGCGTAAGGAAGAGCGGCGGGGGGGGGAGGGACGCAGTGCGGTAGGGGAAGAGACGGTAGTAGGGAACCGACTCGTCAAACGTGACGTCCTGGGAGGACAGAACACGGCGCGAGGTGGGGTGGTAGAACTGCCAGCCCGGCGCGTCAGGGGGGAAGCCAAGGAAGACGCAGGGAACAGCACGAGGGGACAGCTTGTCCGCAGACAAGTCGCGAACAAACGCCCGAGATCCCCAGACACGGAACGCAGACGCATCGCCAACCTTCCCCGTCCACAGCAAAGCAGGGGAGGTCTCCGGCATGGAGACCCTGGACTGAAGGTTGATCTGATGCGCCGCGTACCGAACCGCAAACGGCCACAGAAAATGGGGGGCAGCCGCATGGACCATGGACGTACGAGCGACGTCCATGACCATGCCAATGCGGCGCTCAGCAATCCCATTTTGCTGCGGAGAGTCCGGAAGCGTGAAGGTCTGGCGGATGCCTCGTGCACGACAGAAGGCTCGCAGAAGGTCAGAGGAGAACTCTCCGCCTCTGTCAGAGTGCAGACGCAGAACAGGAAAGTCCGAGCCGAAACTCTCTCTGAGCTGGAGACGAGCTGCGCGGATCCAGGCGATCAACACCTCAGTGACCTCACCCTTGGTGCGCAAGGGGAAGACTGCGGTGTAACGCGAGTAGTCGTCAACCACCAGCAGGAAGTAACGCTCGTGACCCTGTCCACGGACGCGGGCTGGGCCCCACACGTCCATGTGAAGCGTCTGCAGCGGAGCCTCTGTCGGAGGAAACTCGGAGGAGTGAGGAGCAGCGCGCTGCCGCCCCTCGACGCAGGGAACGCAGGTGGGGGCAGGCCCCGGAGGAAGGGGAGGGAGGGACCGGGGGAGACCAGAGACAAGGACACGGGAGGCCATGCCTCGAAGACGAGGCAGGGAGGGGTGACCAAGGCGGTGGTGCCAGAGGAGACGACACGAGCAGGGGGCAGACTCAGGACCAGACCTGGACGCCGCAGCAAACACCTGACCCGACGCGGCTACCTGAGCAGACTCAGCGACCGGAGGAGACTCAGTAGGCAGTGTGTACAGGCTCGACCCCGGCCGACGGGTAAACGTGGCCAAGTGACGGCCCGTCCGAGCACAGGTACAGTGGGTCACGCGCTGACTCGCAGGAGTGAACTGGTGAACCCCTCCATCCTGGAGGTCAGCACCACTCACCAAGTTCGTAGAGAACGAGGGGAGGTAAAGACCCGACAGGGTGCCAGAAGGGGCCGCCGGACACGGTAGAACAGTGGAGAAGTGGGCAAGGACAGGACCCCCAGAGGGGTCTGCCAGGGAGACTGCCACTGGCCGACTAAGCGGCGTAAGCGTGGTGCGGTCTCGAAAAAAGGAGCGGGAAGCACCTGAGTCAAGGGTGAAGGTGTGGGTGGCCGGAGCCGACGCGGTACCTGAGAGCGCAGACTCACCAGCACCTGGGGCAGCTGGCTCACTAGCACCTAGAGCAGCAGCCTCAATGCCCGGGTCAGGCGGAAAACACCGGTAACAGTCACCCTCATCACTAATAGTCACAGCATACATGGCAGCAAGAATAGCATCATAGTCAAGATCAAAGATCGGAACACCCGCCCGAAACAGCTCGCCCCAGCGAGGGATCTCAGTAGCGTCAGGGAACTGATGACGCCAAGCGTCCGTCAGGCGGCCGAAGCAGCGCTGGGTGGAGTGCGGACCCCCACACTGCTCACCCGCGCGGTCGCCGGTACGTAGAACGTAGGTACAGGGGCCAGCACCCCCACCCCGCTGACGAGCAGTGTACCACTCACGAAGCTGCTGGGGGGTAGGGGTCTCACGAGTGCGCTGCTGCTGCTGCTGCTGGCGCTGACCACCACCGGAGCCGACCCTCTGCGTAGCGCCGCCCCGACCAGCTCCACCTCCGCCGCCGCTACCTCCACCACCGCCTCCACCTCCACCACCTCTACTCGCACCGCCACCACCGCCGCCTCCTCCGCCTCCACTACCGCCACTAGTGCCCCCACTCCCGCCACCACTCCCACCGCCAACCCCACCCCCTCCGCCGCCTCCACCGCCGCCTCCACCGCCCCCGCCAGCTCCTCCAGCGCCCTTGCCCCCCTTGCCCTTGCCTGAGCGGCGTCTCCCGCTAGGGGCAGACGCCGCGCCGACTGACTCAAGACCAACGAGGTCGGCCGCAGCAGTAGAGGCAACAGAGGGCAAGAGGGGGGAGGGGGAGCACCCCTCAAAGACAGGGGTACGAGGGTCACCACGAGAGGCTCCTACAGCGACTATACTCTTTTCTGCTGCTAGGAGGCGCTCCTCGAGGAGGTCAACGGTGAGGGTGGTGGGGCAAACAGAGAGGAAGTGGTCCCTGACCGAGCGAAGGGTGTCAGGGAGCCGGGTGACTATGTAGTAGAGGGTGATGTACATAGGGGGGGTGTTCTTGGCGCAGAACTCAGCAGGAAGCGCAGCGCGGTAGCGAATGTCACTAGTGCGAAGGTGCGTAATGAGGACAGCGACTGTGGGAAAAGCGGCGAGGTCAGGGAAGAGGTACGGCAGTATGAGGCGGTTAAGGGCAGCAGTGGCAGGGGAAGAGTAGCGTGCAACGACAGCGTCGTACAAGGTCTTAGCACTCTTGTACTGACTAAAATGCGCGCGCTCAGCGGTCGGTAAGTGGCGGCGCATAGCAAGGCGAGCAGCAGCATCGCGCGTGGCCCACTGTGAGCGAACAGTGGCGTCAGCATCAGCAGCAGGGGCAGGAGAGGCACCAGAGGTGAGGTCAAACAGAGAGAGACCGTCTGCCCTATCGTACTGTAGGAAAAGCTGCAGATCATCTACCCAGACCTCAAAGTCAACAGCCCGACCCTCAGCGTCAAAGGTGAGAACACTGGGGGTGGCCATGACAGCAGTAGACTGGCAGAGAGAGCAGCGGGGTAGGGCAGTGCAGTGGCAGAGGCGCTGCTCTTACCAGGCAGGTGGGGCGGGCCGAGGCAGGCCGGCAGGGACAGGGCCGCTACTGCAGTGACGGCAGTGTCTCGGCTGCGGCGGCCCGGCGGCTCGGCGGCTCGGCGGCTCGGCGGCAAAGGCGGCTCGGCGGCTCAGCGGCTCGGTGGCTCGGCGGCAAAGGCGGCTCGGCGGCTCAGCGGCTCGGCGGCTCGGCGACAAATGTTATAGTCACAATAGGCTTGAATGTGCCTAAAACGAAAGATAGAGAGCACAGACGGATTTCTGCACAGCGGCTTCAAACGTTGATAGCGTTCTGCTCACAGCTGCAAATGACTTGATTCAAATTGGATCTGGAGCGTATTCACGTCGTCTACAATTAGCAATTTAGATTGCACGATTTGATAAAGAATTGACGACAAAGCGTCGGTTTGAACGAACGGTACTATGGCAGCCACTATAGTCTTAGAACACAAGATAGGAAGAGTTACGAGTTGGGAATGACTCCCAGCTCCTACAAACCCCAAGAGCCGAGGTACAGTGATGTGGAACAGTGCCACACTGTCCCCAACCACGAAGGGTCTCGAAACTACCCTTCACTAGGGCCTACACCAAGTGAAATGTTACACTACACAAAGTAATGTAACTATCTTCAATATCTTGAGGTGTACCCTTTTGGCAAGCTTCGAAATCACTTGAGGCTTGACACCAAGGCTCGGGCTCTTCATCACAAACTCATCCTTGAGTTCTTGATGGGTCTGCTGCACACACCTGCGACACGCCGAACGTTCGACACAGGACAAAATAGAAACCGCGCACGACAAAATAGAAACCGCGCGCGAGACACAAACGACCGCGTAACACGCGTCTAGCGATAACTCGCTATTGACTCGACACACACACTCGACATCATGACTCAACATTCACACACAATTATAAGCATGAAATATATATTATTCCATGCCCTCATACCATTCCATACACACACACATTCACGCACACGGACAACAAGCCGAGTGCAAACCGTAGGGTTGCACCAACAACAAAGGCGGCTCGGCGGCTCAGCGGCTCGGCAGCGAAGGCGGCTCGGCGGGGCCGTGAAGGGCGGCGTCGCTGCCGCGAAGGAGCGGCGACGGGGCCGCTGAAGGGCGGCGACGAGGCCGCCAAAAGGGGCGGCGACGAGGCCGAGTAGGGGCGGCGGCGGGGCCGCGGAAAGGGGCGGCGACGGGGCCGCTGAAGGGCGGCGACGGGGCCGCTGAAGGGCAGCGACGAAGCCGCTAAGAGGCGGCGACGGGGCCGCTGAAAGGGCGGTGAAGGGGCCACTGAAGGGCGGCGACGAAGCCGCTAAGAGGCGGCGACGGGGCCGCTGAAAGGGTGGCGACGGGGCCGCTGAGAGGGCGGTGACGGGGCCGCTGAAAGGGCGGCGACGGGGCCGCTGAAAGGGCGGCGACGGGGCCGCTGAGAGGGCGGCGACGGGGCCGCTGAGAGGGCGGCGACGGGGCCGCTGAAAGGGCGGCGACGGGGCCGCTGAAAGGGCGGCGACGGGGCCGCTGAAAGGGGGAGGCGGCGACGGGGCCGCGGAAGGACGGCGACGGGGCCGGAAAGGGGCGGCGACGGGGCCGTCAAGGGCGGCAACGAGGCCGGTAGGGGCGGCGACGGGGCCGCTAAGGGCGGCGCGACGGGCCGTTAAGGAGGGCGCTACGGGGCCGCTAAGGAGGGCTCGACTAGGCGCGCCTCGGGCAGGGGACAACACGCGCCCCGGGCAGAAAAAAAATTCGATCTTGGTGGGCCCTAGGACAGTTCCCACTGGGGAACCTGCTCGATACCATGAGAAACTTAGAACGAGAATGGATGAACTAAGGAATGAAAGTGATACAAATGTGAAACCCTAGAATTGTGTACCCCTTAGTATCTAACCCGCTACAGCCTACACAGGCTAGATCATATGAGTTTGACAGCAGACGACAGGCAGTGCTGACGACGCCGGAGGCGCGGAAGTTGGGACAACGCGAGGCGCCAAGGAAGCTAGTGGCAAGGCGGGCGGTCAAGCATTGCGCCAGAAGGGCCGACCCGCAGCAAGAAAAACATCCGGCGGAAGGAGAGGCAAGAAAGCAGTGACGGGGACGAGGCAGAAACGGGGCGATGAACACCCTGGTGATGCGGAGGAGGAGGAGGATGAGGAGGAGGATGCGGAGGAAGAGGAGGATGAAGAGGATGCGGAGGAGGATGACGAGGATGTTGGGGAGGATGAAAAAGATGAGAATGATGGCGGGGAGGACGAAGAGGAGGATGAGGAGGAGGAGGAGGAGGAGGAGGAGGAGGAGGAGGAGGAGGAGGAGGAGGAGGAGGAGGAGGAGGAGGAGGAGGAGGAGGAGGATGAGGATGAGGAGGAGGAGGAGGAGGAGGAGGAGGAGGAGGAGGAGGAGGAGGAGGAGGAGGAGGAGGAGGAGGAACAGGGTGACGACGAGGAGGAGGATGAGAAGGACGAGGAGGCAGCAGAGGAGGAGGAGGAGGAGGAGGAGGAGGAGGAGGAGGAGGAGGAGGAGGAGGAGGAGGAGGAGGAGGAGGAGGATGTGGCGCCAGTGAAGGGACGGGGCGGGCGTGGCAGACGGGTGAGTGGTACAGGGAAGGTGGGGGGCCGGACTTGCCCTTCCCGAAAACGCGGGGCAGTTGACGCCGCGCGCGGCGAAGCAGCGGGCAAACAGAAGGCGCGTAAGGTGAAGGTCGAAAGTGAAGGGGGTGGTAAAAAGCAAGGGAGCCAGGGAGCAAAAGGGGATGGAGGAGGAAAGGGTGGCCGCGGCAAAGGGGTTCCAGTGGGTACCGGCAAGAAAGAACCTGCCGGTAAACGTCGCAGCGTCCGCCAAAGCACCCCGCGGAAAGGTGGCAACGAGAAGGCGCATGCTGCCCCAAAACCGAAGGGACAGCAGAAAGGTGAGCGTTGTGGCCAATACAAGTGGCGTGGTTGTTGAACCATCTGGTCAACCGTGCCAAATAACACCATTTTTTCCCATTGTTTCTCCCCTGCAGGGAAGGAGAGGGTCGACGAATCTACCAAGCAAGGTAAACCCTCTTGTCTCAAACCAGTACAACCCTAAACCCGATTTAGATTCAAACCTTTGATGTTATGCATGCATGTCTGGCCCTGTATTGAAACCGATTGACTCTAATTTCTTTATCCTACTCCCTCTACATCTCAGCCCCTCGCGTTATAGGCATTGGGCCACCCGTAAGCGTGCAACGGATGCAGCTAACGAAGGCTGCCGGAAGAGCGAGTGTTACACCGCTAGCCACAGGAGCACCAAGGTTCTACACGCCATACACCGGCCCGAGCAAAGTCGCTGCGACGGCACCCGGCGCGCCAAGAGGAGAGGAATCCGAATCCCCTCCACCAGCCCCCGTCACGCAAACCCCACTCGCCTCACCCTCGTACCCATTTCGGTCGCTACACGCTTCTCCTGTCCGGGGCAGGGCGGTCTCCCCCCTCGCCGGTCCATCGCGCGGGCATCAGGCAGGCACTTATACCAATCCCTTCCCTGAGCTCCCCTTTTCCCGCCAGCGTGATAGTGTGAGGGCACACGGGACTGCTGCAGAAGATGCTGATCCCCTTGGCCAGATGGGGGATTCTTCACACCCTTTTCCTCCGCTCATGGGTGCCCTAGGTGAAAGTGCGGAGCACGAGCAGTTTGTTACACGGGAGGAGTTCCAGGCGCTGCGGTCTGAGATGTACGCCATGTTTGCATAGCTCGGCCTGCGTCGTGGAGTACCTGCCAGCTATGTCGGCGGGTTGGCAGCCCTGCCTATGGCTGGTACCCCGCCGCCAATGAGCGCCGTGGACAAGGCACGAGTGCTAGTGTTGCAGGAGACAAACCCATTCCCGGTATGTGGCGGGCCAAATGGGGCGGGTTGGGGTTGACGTGGCAACCAGGGCAGGGTTGGGGCTGACGTGGCGGTTTCGAAGGCTCCATCTGAGCGGCGCGTGACGAGGCGACGCGTATCAGGTGGGTGGGGGGTGACGTGGCATGGGGTGGGTGGGTGTGACGTGGCAAGTGGCGCGGGTTGTTGGTGGACGTGGTGGATGCAAGTGGGTGTGACGTGGCAAAAGGTGAGGGTTGAGATATGACGTGGCGGTGTGAAAGGGCGCAAGGGAGTGCCGCATGACGGGGCGAGGCGTTTCAGGTGGGTGGGGGGTGACGTGGCTCTTGGTGGGGGGTGTGATGTGGCAAGTAGGGCGGGTTGTTGGCGGATGCAAAAGGGTGTGACATGGCACGAATGTGAGGGTTGGGGCAGACGTGGCGGGTTGGAATGGTACACGGGAGCGGCGCGTGACAAGGCGACGCGTGTCAGGTGGGTGGGGGGAAACGTGGCATGGGGTGGGAGGGTGTGACGTGGCACGGGGGGCTGGTTGTTGGTGGACGTGGCGGATGCAGGAGGGTGTGACGTGGCACGTGGGGCTGGTTGTTGGTGGACGTGGCGGATGCAGGAGGGTGTGACGTGGCGGATGCAGGAGGGTGTGACGTGGCACGTGGGGCTGTTTGGTGGACGTGGCGGATGCAGGAGGGTGTGACGTGGCGGAAGGTGAGGGTTGGGGATGACGTGGCGGATGCAGGTGGGTGTGACGTGGCAGAAGGTGAGTGTTGGGGATGACGTGGCTGTTCAAAAGGGTACACGTGTGCGGCGCATGACGCAGCGAGGCGTTTCAGGTGGGTGGGAGGTGACGTGGCTCTTGGTGGGGGTGTGACGTGGCAAGTAGGGCGGGTTGTTGGCGGATGCAAAAGGGTGTGACGTGGCGGAATGTGAGGGTTGGGGCAGACATGGCGGTTTGGAATGGTACACGGGAGCGGCGCGTGACAAGGCGACGCGTGTCAGGTGGGTGGGGGGTGACGTGGCATGGGGTGGGAGGGTGTGACGTGGCACGGGGGGCTGGTTGTTGGTGGACGTGGCGGATGCAGGAGGGTGTGACGTGGAAAGTTCACACAGTCCATCCTGTGGTCACGCGGCCACAGTCATAACTGATGGTTTCTCTCTCCCCATGTCATGTTGTATACCCCACACCCCTGCGCAGAACAAAGCCTACTTAGTGTGCTCTCAGCTCCTGTTTTTGAACCCCCCGGAGAAAATCCAATACTACCCTGCACCGGAGGAAGTGTTCGAGGCGTTCGCTGTCCACTTGTCTGCCGAAGGGCTCGAGTCACTGAAGCTGCTGTGGTTGCACAACGACAAGTCAACCATGGGTGTCTTCAACCACCAGATGCTGTCAACCAGGTCAACAATCAACAGCACCCTCAGGCCAGCAACGTACGCCGGCATGGGCCTCTCCGATTACGCCCATCTCGTGGATACCCTGCCCACTGAGCTACACCCAAAGAAGTGGTTCAACCACGAGGATCTCCTGGCCGAGTACAGAGATGGTATGTGCGACTCGAACACACCATATCCCCCTGCCCATATGCCAGGTGGCAGCTACAAATAACCGTGCGGTGTTCCTCACCCTGACTCTCACCTAGCCACTTGATTTCTCTGCACCCCCTTTCCAACCCGTACGCTCCCTCCAAAATGCAGAACAGTGGGCCCTCAACTGGCACTTTGACAAGGCCACCGGAACGCCCTTCAGCAACCCCTTGTTTGCTTATGCGTTCAAGCTCTCCTTCAAGAGGGGCGGGGTCGTGTTCACCAAGTTCAAGAGCCGCATGGTGGCATGGGGCCTGTTTTCGGTAAGGATGTAGATATGTGTCTGTACACCCATGCCTCATCCCCTAAACCCCTTGCCTGTACTTCATCTAAATCCCTGGTCGCTTAGGCGTTTGCAGTTACGTAGGGTGTGTCATCTTCACCGCTTTCAGTTGGCCCATATACCCGTAACCCCCCCCCATACTCCATCCACCCAACCCTACACCACATTGCAGATCGAGTGGCCCCTTCTGCAGGATAAGCGTCGCAAGCGAATTCCGGCCCAGCCGGAAGAAAACAGGCCGGACTACTTCGAGTGGTGTGACAAGGTCAAACAGATGATACAATTTGCCGTCGTGGAGCGGCGGATCCCACACGATCCGGCTCAGCGTGCGTTCGTCTTCCCGAACAAGTTCCTCATCGACGATGGCGACCTTGGAGATGTCATTCTTGCCCACCGGGCGATTGCAGGGCCCAGCATTGCGTAGGCTATTTGACCTGGTGCTAAAACTGCTGGTTGTTAGAATGTTGAATAATGGTTGTTGTAAACCGGAATATTGAATGTAATTCTGAAATCCTCAATACCCAAAATAAAACAAAACCAAAATCCAGTTTTAAAAAAATTGGTACCGAAATTGCACCAAAACGGATTGCGCCCGAATGTCATCTGGAAAAGCTCGCGTGCCAATTTGAAACTTGACCCGAGCCAAACCTTGTCGCGAGATGTGTGTCGGAGCTCCTATCAAATGATTCCAACCGTCGGTCGAAATTGGGTCTGGATTTTTTTACGCGAAGACAACCCCAATCAAAATTCGTCCAAACTTGGCATAGGGTTTTTGTGATGGAACTTCTACCTTGGGCTCCAAATCGAACAAGACGTGGAGAAGCGGAGCATGCGAGTGCACCAACGGAAGTACCTGGAGGCGTTGGCTGCCAACCTTGGCCAGAGTGAAGGTCATGTGGCTACTCCCTTTCCTTCTGGGTTCAAGTGTGTGAAGGGACCAGAGGAGGAGAGCGTTGGTGAAGAGGAGAGGCGCCGTTTTCACTCGTTGGTGGGCAGCCTCATGTATGCGGCGGTAAACACTCGGCCGGACGTGGTCTTTGCTACCGGGCAGCTGGCTAGGGTTGTGCAATGCCCTAATGAGGAGCAGGTAGCAGCTGGAATGAGGGTGGCCAAGTATCTTGGCCAAACACCGACCGTTGGGCTGCAATACTCGGCGGCGGCGCAAAGGCGCCAAAAGGGCGCGGATTGTGTAGAACCCGGGTGTTTGTTCCTCACCGCCTACTCGGATGCTTCATATGCATCTGAACCAGAGGACATGACAAGTGTTGGAGGGTTCATTTGCTGTGTTGGTGGAGGCCCAACTGCTTGGGAGAGCAAGAAGCAGGTGGACCAAGCATTGAGCTCGGTGGAGTCCGAGCACATGACACTCTTCCGTGCCGTACGGGAGATTGTGTGGCAGCGGCGTTTGTTGGCTGAATTGGGGGAGGAGCAGCAAGGACCTACCCCACTTTACTGTGACAGCCAGGGTGCCATTGCACTAGCCAAGAATCCTGTGTTGCACGGCCTCACCAAGCACATGAGGGTGAAGTGGCACTGGACGAGGAACATGGTGGCCGCGGGTGAAGTTGAATTGCGCTACGTGAAGACAACGGGGCAGCCGGCTGACATGTTGACTAAGAGGCTGGTGGAGCAGCAGCATTGGAAGTGTTGCAAGCTGGCTGGGATGGCTCTAAACTGAGAGAGCAACATATCCTAAGGCTAACAATCCGAGGGGGAGTTTGTTGGTGCAACCCTACGGCTTGCACTCGGCTTGTTGTCCGTGTGCGTGCATGCATGTGTGTGCATGGAGTGGCATGGAGGCATGAGATGATATACATTTCATGCTTATAATAGTGTGTGTATAATGGGTCATGATGTTGAGTGTGTGTGTGTCGAGTCAATAGCGAGTTTTCGCTAGTCGCGTCTTACGCGGTCATTTGTGTCTCGCGCGCAGTTTCTGTTTCGTCGTGTGTCCCGTGCGCAGTTTCTATTTTGTCGTGTGTCGAACGTTCGGCGTATCGCAGGTGTGTGCAGCAGACCCATCAAAAACTCAAGGATGAGTTTTTTGTGATGAAGAACCCGAGCCCTGGTGTCAACATTCAAGTGATCGCGAAGCCCGCGAAAAGAGTACACCTCAAGATATTGAAGATAGTTACATTATTTTGTGTAGTGTAACATTTCACTTGGTGTAGGCCCTAGTGAAGGGTAGTTTCGAGACCCTTCGTGGTTGGGGACAGTGTGGCGCTGTTCCATATCACTGTACCTCGGCTCTTGGGGTTTGTAGGAGCTGGGAGTCATTCCCAACTCGTAACTCTTCCTAACTCTTCCTATCTTGTGTTCTAAGACTATAGTGGCTGCCATAGTGCCGTTCGTTCAAACCGATGCTGTGTCGTCAATACTTGGTGAAATCGTGCGATCTAAATTGCCTATTGTAGGCGACGTTAAGACGCTCCAGATCCAAGTTGAATCAGGTCATTTAAAGCTGTGACCGGAACGCTATGAACGTTTAAAGCCGCTGTGCAGAAATCCGTCTGTGCACTCTATATTTCGTTTTAGGCACATTCAAGCCTATTGTGACTATAACATCATCTGACCAGCCCCTCGAAAGGGAGCAGTTCCGAGCTATCCATGCAGCGCGAATCCCGCTCTGGCCTCGTGTTCTCCGAAGTATGCAAACCGGTTCTTTCGGCTCATCAGCAGCCTCTACGATTCGGCGACGGGGGATGTCCTAAGTGGACTTTTCACGCTCGGTCGCAACTGGGCCGAGGATCCACGCCTAACGAACCCGCGCATCGAGCCGGTTCTTGCGCTGCGCACCGAAGGAAGGCAAATGCAGTGAGTGTGGCGCCGCGGGCTGGCTGTTTAATTTTCGAGAGGGGGAGGGAGGGAGGGAGGGAGGGGAGGGGAAGGGGGGAGGAAGAGGGGGAGGGGAAGTGGGGAGGGAGAGGGGCAGGGCCGACGGCAGGCAGGTAGAATTCTCGGGGGAAGAGGAGAGCAAAGCGCGGCTTATTTTCCGACCAACTAATGAGACTTATCTTTTTTTCATTCTGCAGGCTTAGGTATTTCTCACCCTTATTCAGACGCAACCTTGATTTTTCCACAGGAAACCATTTTTTTGCCCTTCTATTCATCTCCCCTCCCCTCCCCCCCCCTCCCCTCCCCTCCCCTCCCCTTCCCGTTTTCAACCCCCAGAGTCATCATGGGCCATCACAGCAGTGAGCGCGGTGGAAATGGCGTACGCGTTAGTGGCTGCCTCGACGCCCTCCATGGATCTCCCAAGCGCATATCACTACAGCAGGTGCAGTGTTGCTAACCAAGCACGGGCTTAACGGGAGCAGCTACTTCGGCTGAATAATTATTCGTGCTTATACGCATGCAGCTTATACCGCGTACACGTAGCTTTGCACCTAGCAGCAGCAGCAACAGCAGCAGGTTTTGATTGCAGGCTCACCAGCAGGTGTTCTGTTCGGGCAGATTTACCTCCCCCAACCAATAACCCAACCCCGCAGGTGCTGGACTGCAGGAACAGAACCAGCAGCAGTTGTGCGGCGGGCGGGTGGTCGACCCACCCGCACCCCTTCCCCCTGCCGTCACCCACCCTTCCCACCCCCCAACCCCGTAGGTGCTACTGCAGGAACAGCAGCTGTTCTGCCAGCGGCCGCGCCACTCCCTTTCGCGTCACCCACCGTTCTCCTCTCCTTCTCTCAACCCCCAACCCAACCCCTCAGGTGCTGGACTGCAGGAATAGCACGAGCAGCAGCTGTGCGGCGGGCGGGTGGTCGACCCACCCGCACCCCTTCCCCCTGCCGTCACCCACCCCTCCTGCCTCTCCCCACCCACAACCCATCAGATTCTGGACTGCAGGAACGCAACGAGCAGCAGCTGTGCAGCGGGCGGGTGGCCGACAACAGCGCTGGACTACATGGTGGACGCCACGCTCACGTGGGGGGGGCTTGCGAGCGAGTCTGGGTACGCGTACACGTAGAAGGACGGCAAATGCAACAGGGGAAAGGTACAGCTGGGGGAGGTATGCCTGGGGGAGGTATGCCTGGGGGAGGTATGCCTGGGGAAGGTATGCCTGGGGGAAAGGACGCTGACGTGGCGGGGCTTGCCGCCGAGGCTGGCTACGCATACGCGCAGAAGGACGCCAAATGCAACAGGGGAAAGGTATTCTTGTGGCAGGTACACCGGGGGCAGGTATAATGTTTCATGATGGCGCGCATCTTTGTCGCGAGAGGCTCTTGTCCGTTCATTCCACAACGTCTTGCAGCAGGAGAGAGATGAGCTGTTCATGTCCATGTGCCCATGCCCGTGCCCATGCCTATGTGTCCATGTGCCTGTGCCCATGCCCATACCCATGCCCATGCCCATGTGCCCATGCCTGTGCGCCCACACGCTCCTGCCTCAGGCAACACAGACTCAGCCCACCATTGCATTCGTGCGAGGCTCCTACCCCTCCTTCCAGACCTACACAGATGTAAGGGGAACACTGTTTTTAGCTTGAATCACAGATGTAAGGAGAGCAGTGGCTTGGTGCATTTCTTATCACGCTCTTACCCCTCCTTCCAGACGCACATATTATAAGTACGAGAAGCAGTTGTTAGGTGTGTGTTAACTAGACTCATGGGCTCTAACTCCTCCTTACGGTCTTACTCAGCAAGGTTTGCGGAGCAGTGTGTAGGTTGATTTTGAGTCGATGATGCAAGGGCTGACTGTTGAGCCGTGTTTTGAGTGGACTTAAAACTGTCCTACTCCTCACTTTTGAGTCGACTCAAAACGAGGCGACTTTTGAGTCGACTCAAAACGAGGTAACTTTTGAATCGACTTAAAACGAGGTAACTTTTGAGTCGACTCAAAACGAGGTGACTTTTGAGTCGATGATGCAAGGGCTGACTGTTGAGCCGTGTTTTGAGTGGACTCAAAACAGTCCTACTCCTCACCGGGGTGTGTGGAGCAGTGTTTAGGTTGTTTAGGAGTCGATGCAACGGCTGACTTTTGAGGTGCCTCAAAAGTCCTCCCTACTAACGGAGGTGTTCGGGGCAATGTGTAGGTTGGTTCTTTAGTTGACGCAATAGCGTCATACTCCCCTCTCCCAGTCCTCCTCACAGGCAGGCAGGAGGGGCGTTGTTTCAGATAATGTGTTGAGCAGTCAAAGCTTGTACTAAATTGTGCTCATCCTTTCCTTTTTCCCTCCAACACTCCTTCCCTCCTCTCTTCCTCCACCTCTCCCTCCCCCCTTTCTCCCTCCACCTCTCCCTCCCCCCTCTCTCCCTCCACCTCTCCCTCTTTCCTCTCTCCCTCCACCTCTCCCTCTTTCCTCTCTCCCTCCACCTCTTCCTCTTCCCTCTCTCCCTCCACCTCTTTTTCTTTCCTCTCTCCCTCCACCTCTCCCCTTCCCCTTCCCCCGTACACGCTTCCCTTCCGCCCTCTTCCCCAGGGCATATGCAGCGACGCAGGGTGTGCAGCGGCAGGGGTGGTGGATCACAGTGTGGTGGTGATGGGGTACAGCTTAACGTCATCGGAAGGCGCCTACTGGATCCTCCGCAACTCCTGGGGGGGCACGTGGGGCATGCAGGTAGGGTATGCGTGGCTTTGTTGTTTCTTTGCAAGTCGTTTTTAATCATTTAGTTAAAATGACCTGCAAGAGAAATAATATTAATAATAAAAAATAAATAAATAACGCTATCCGCGTGCATTATCACTCTCTGCATGCAGGGTTACATGGAAATGGCCTTTGAGGGAGGCGTTGGCATTTGTGGCATTCACTCAGTGCCGGCCCTCTACCCCATCATTAAGAGTTTGTTGACCCCCTCGTCTGTCTGCTTTTATGCATGCATGCGCACATATGGGGCACTGATGGCGCACATGTGGGGCACTGATGGCGCACATGTGGGGCACTGATGGCACACATGTGGGGCACTGATGGCGCACATGTGGGGCACTGATGGCGCACATGTGGGGCACTGATGGCGCACATGTGGGGCACTGATGGCGCACATGTGGGGCACTGATGGCGCACATGTGGGGCACTGATGGCGCACATGTGGGGCAGTGATGGCGCACATGTGGGGCACTGATGGCGCACATGTGGGGCAGTGATGGCGCACAAGTAAGGAAGTTCTACACGTGATGTTTGAGGCGCCTCAAAAATCACCTCAATGCAGTGTATACATGTGGGGTAGTGATGGATCGCAAGTGAGAAGTTCTACTTGTGCTCGTGCTCGTGCCTGCATTCTCTCTTTTGACGCGCCTCACAAGACCTCCCCTCCCTCTCCTTCTCCCCCCCACCACACCAGCGCCCAAGCCATGCTAGTCACCGCAGAACCCATGTGGGGGGGGCACGTGCGAGGAGGTGATGGATAGATTCTACACGTGCTCGTGCCTGGACCCGCTCTTCATTCCCGTTGCCGACAAGGGCGGCACCCAGACGTGTGTGTTTGGTGAGTGGCGCCCACGCGTGTGTTTAATGAGTGGCGCCCACGCGTATGTGCTTTGGGAACATGAAGCTCACACTACTTTTTCACCATATGCCATGCATCATTATCTTCCCCCCCTTCCCATCATACCCCATGACCTTACACTGACCTCTCCTGCACCCCCCACCGCCCCTCCCTCCTCTTCCCGCCCCGCCTAATAAGAGCTCCCCTTGCGCCTCTTCCCCTTCCCCTGCACCTTTTCCCCTCCCCTAGCCCCTCTTCTCCTTCCCTCCCCCCACTCCCCCCTTGTACCTCTTCCCCTCCCCTTGCCCCTCGTCCCACTCGCTCTCTGTCAGCTGGCATGTGCAGCCAAGGAACGACAGTCTCCAACTCCCCTTGCGCCTCTGTTTTTCCCCCTGCCCCCCCACCACCCCCCCCCCCCCCCCCCTCACTTGCCCTTGCTAGTCGACGTGTGCAGCCAGCAGGACGAAAACCCGTGTGCAGTCGGCACGTGCATCAACGACAAGGCGGGCGGCTTCTTTTGTCTCTGTCCACCGGGATTCGACCAGGGGTACCGCCCGAACGGTGCTCACACATGCGTCCTAAGTGAGTGTTCAATCGGGCGGCTAATCTTGTCTTTTCTTACCCATGTTCTCACATGCGTCCTTATATGTGTTCAAGTGGACGGCTCCTCTTGTCCTTTTGCGATTCATGCTTCTTTAAGAACCACAGTTAATCACATCTATCCCATCCCATATATGTGAGAATCATAAGCATAGTGAGGAGCCATAGCTAGGGTTTAGCTAGCTAGGCAAGAGAGAAATGAACAAAAGGAAGGGTTTCACTAGCAGCAGTTGGGATACATATAGCAAACCCTAACAGGGTTGTACTCGCTATAGAGCACCCCACTACAGGCTAGATAATAACATTCTGACACACCCCCATAGCCAAAGTGGGGTGTAATCAGCAGAGCACGCAGTCATAGAGCAAGTTCACAAATGCAAGCAAAGCTAGAGGCTATCACAGAGGGCAAGTGAGGAGGAGGAGGAACTGTGGAAGGAGAGAAGATGGGAGGCAACGACTGAAGCTGCAGAGGCACGGGCACAGGAGCGGCTGACTCAGTGGCTACCGAAGCAAGGGCGACGGACTACTGGAGTGACTGGCTCCGCGGCTAAGACGAGCGGCAGGAGCAACGGACCCACTGGCGACTGGTGCAACAGGCTCACTGGCTACCGAAGCAAGGGCGACGGACTACAGGCACTGCAAGCGACACGACAGCTACCTCCACACAACCTCCTCCAACTGACCCACACCCTTGACACACACCCCCTGCTGAACCCCTAACTCCACTCCCACGTCACCCCCCTAGCACCAATCCTTCGGCTCCCACACACCCACCCCCCTGAGCGGCAGCTGCAGCAGCGGGAGACGGAGGAGGAGGAGAAGTAGTGGAACGGCGCACAGAAACTGCACCCCCATACCCCCCACCCCCAAACCCTAATTCAGGAGAACGGGCAGCAGCAGGGGTGGGGCACCGTCAGAAGCACGGGGGACAGCGAGCAGCTCAGGGGCAGAGAGGAACGGGCCGCCCACGGGCCTGGCACAGCCCGACGAACCGCGCGCAGGCTGCCCGAGCCGCGCGCGGGCCTGGCGCAGCCCGTACGGGCCGCGCGCGGGCCGGGCGCAGCCCGTACGGGCCGCGCTCGGGGCTAGCGCAGCCCGCGCTGGCCGGGACGGGCGACGGGGGACGACGGGCTGGTCCCCGTCGCCCGTCGAAGCGCCCCCCGGGGGCGACGCGCGGACCGACGAGGTAGAAGGCCGCCACGCGCCCCGGGGCGCACGGCGGGCAGAAAACCGCCGCACGCTCCGAGCGCGCGGCGGGAAGAAAAATCCGTCGCACGCCACGGGGCGTGCAACACACAGAGTAGCAGCGGAAGCAGTTAGGTGGGCCCACAGGCCAGGAGCGTAGATGCTCTGATAGCATGTGAGAATCATAAGCATAGTGAGGAGCCATAGCTAGGGTTTAGCTAGCTAGGCAAGAGAGAAATGAACAAAAGGAAGGGTTTCACTAGCAGCAGTTGGGATACATATAGCAAACCCTAACAGGGTTGTACTCGCTATAGAGCACCCCACTACAGGCTAGATAATAACATTCTGACAATATATGCACCGCAAATCACATCCATCCCATACCATGTATGCACAGCTTACTCTGAAACATCACTGAGTCTTCATCCCTTTGAGTTCTTCTCACGTCTCAATCGCGTCTCCTCTTTCTCGCCCCTCCTCCTCTTTCTCACCTCTCCTACTCCCCCTTTTTTGTCACAGTTAGCAGGCAGAAACAGAATTGAAGAAAGGAGGGGTTTCACTAGCAGCAGTTGGGATACATATAGCAAACCCTAACTGGGTTGTACCCGCTATAGAGCACCCCATTACAGGCTAGATAATAACATTCTGACACACCCCCATAGCCAAAGTGGGGTGTAATCAGCACAATGAGCAGGCATAGCAGGAGTTCACAATAATAAGCAAAGCTAGAGGTAATCACAGCGGGCAAGTGAGGAGGAGGAGGAACTGCGGAAGGAGAGAAGATGGGAGGCAACGACTGAAGCTGCAGAGGCACGGGCACAGGAGCGGCTGACTCAGTGGCTACCGAAGCAAGGGCGACGGACTACTGGAGTGACTGGCTCCGCGGCTAAGACGAGCGGCAGGAGCAACGGACCCACTGGCGACTGGTGCAATAGGCTCACTGGCTACCGAAGCAAGGGCGACGGACTACAGGCGCTGCAGGCGACACGACAGCTACCTCCACACAACCTCCTCCAACTGACCCACACCCTTGACACACACCCCCTGCTGAACCCCTAACTCCACTCCCACGTCACCCCCCTAGCGCCATTCCCCTCGGCTCCCACACCTCCACCCCCCTCAGCAGCAGCTGCAGCAGTGGGAGACGAACAAGGAGGTGGGGAGAGGGAAGGGGAGTACCCACACCGCGCCCCCCCATGCTCGCCACCCCACACCCCCCACCACCGCGGAACGCACGGCAGCACGGGAGGAATGGGCAGCACGGGGGGGGCGGGGGGGGGGGGGGGGGGGGGGGGGGACGGTACAGGAGGGGCCGCGCGTCTCTCCTCAGGGCGCCAAAACGAACGGGCGGAGGGGCGCGCACGGCTCCCCAGGGCGCCGCGACGGACGGGCGGGGGGCGCGCGCGGCTCCCCAGGGCGCCGCGACAAGAAGGGCGGGGGCCGCGCGTGCTCCCCTGGGCGCCGCGATGAGCAGGGCGGGGGCCGCGCGCGGGTCCCCAAGGCCGCACGACGGGCAGACGGGCCGCGCGCGGCCTGCAGGCCCGTGCACGGCCTGCAGGGCGACGCGACGGGAAGGGCGGGGGGCTGCGCGCGGGTCCCCCACGGTAGGAAACCGCCGCGTGCCTCGGGGCGCACGGTGGGCAGAGAACCCTAAAAAAGGGTCGCCGCGCGCGGAGCGCGCGGCAGGAAGAAGGCGTCGCACGCCACGGGGGGTGCAACAGACAGAGTAGCAGCGGAAGCAGTTAGGTGGTGGGCCCACCCACAGGATCGACCCAAGGGGGTCGACCTGCTCTGATACCATGTCACAGTTAGCAGGCAGAAACATAATTGAAGAAAGGAGGGGTTTCACTAGCAGCAGTTGGGATACATATAGCAAACCCTAACTGGGTTGTACCCGCTATAGAGCACCCCACTACAGGCTAGATAATAACATTCTGACATTTTTTTCTTCCCGGTTGTTATTATTTTTTATCTTCTTCTTCTTGTTTTCTTTGTTCTTGTAAAATTTTCCTCCTTGCCTCCCTGAATCTCTGCAGCCACCACTCCAAGCTACAGCGTCGTCTTTCCAACAGACATCAGCTGTCCGCTCGCCGACCCCGTTCCCCATCTCTAGCCTCTCCCATCTCTCCCCCCCTCCAACCCCCTCTTTGCAGCCTCCAACCCCTCATACACCGTCATCTTCCCAATAGACATCAGCTGTCCGCTCGTCTACCAGCTCTACGGCCTCACAGAGGAGGCGTTTCTCGCTCAGAACCCCAACCTGGTGAGCTAGATGCTGAGAGTACCTTCACAGCTGGGAGGCTGATCTGGGAGGCTGATGTGGGAGGCTGGGAGAACGTTGCAACTGTGATCTCTCCTTTCCTCCTGCATGCTCGCACTGTCCCACCTGCTCGCCAGCTCCGCCCTGCGTCTCCCCCACTGAGCATGGAAGAGGACTTGCACGTGTGTTGTGATTCGACTCACACCCCCACCCGCTGAGTATAAAAGAGGACTTGATGAGTGACTGACAGATACCCTCACCCACCGCACCCCACTTCACCACACCTCTCCCAACCCCATGCCTTCACCTTTTTGAATCACAGGGAATGGATCACTGCAAGTCCATCCCGGCCAACACGGCAGTGAGCGTGGCGCCACCCCTCAAGGGGGCAGTGTACTGTGCGCTCTACTACTCGTGGACTGGTCACTGGCGTAACTCACACCAAACCCCAACCCACCCCACCCCACTCAACCCACAGGGCATGGACCAGTGCGAAACCATCCTTGCCAACACGGGAGTGAGCGTGGCACCACCCTCAAGGGGGCAGTGTATTGTGCGCTCTACTACTCGTGGACGGAAAATGACACGTGTGAGAGCGTGGCGGACAGTTTCTGGCTCACAGTGGACGACTTTCTGACGCTCAACCCCGGAATCAACTGCACGGATTGCACCACCTGGAACGCTCTGAGCGTGAACCAGCAGGTGAGATGTGGTGCATTGCAGTGTACTGCGGTGCTCGGTGGTTTGGCGGACTTGTTCTGGCTGACAGTTGACGACTTTCTGACACTCAACCCCGGAATCAACTGCACGGATTGCACCGCTTGGAACACTCCGACTGTGAACCAGCAGGTGAGATGTGGTGCAGTGCGGTGCAGAGCGGTGCTTGGTGGTGTGGCCGACAGTTTCTGGATCACAGTAAAGGGCTTTCTGACGCTAAACTTGGGATCAACTGCCTGGAACGCTCCGACTGTGAATCAGCAGGTGAGATGCGGTGCAGTGCGGTGCTCTGCGGTGTGGTGCATGCGTTTGGGCAGGCATTAGATCTGCCAGTGGGGTTCAACCTAGGGTTAACTGTGCACCTCGCTCACACCGGGGTTCACACCTGCCTAGGCAGCCCACGTGCATGGCATACAAATGTTGTTTTGAGACGCCTCAAAACAGCACTTTTAACTCATGGCAATGGGCGGCATTCCTGCCCATGCTGTCCACATGCACGGCATGGTACACAGTTCGTGCCAGCGACACACGCAAGGGCAACATGCCTCGTCAAACCCCTTCTTATTCCGCTCCCTCGTCTTCTCTCTTCCCACCTCTCTCCTCACAGCTGTGTGTGGCGAAGGGCAGCGGGGGAGGGGACGTGCCCACGCTGCCCATGTGCACGGCATGGTACACAGTACACTCGGGGGACACATGCGAGAGCATCATGAAGGATTTCGCTCTCAACCAAACCACCTTCTTCTCACTCAACCCGGGCGTGGGCTGCGACAGCCTCTTCGCGTCTGTTGGGGGCAGCAGCCTCGGCTGGAGTGGGGGTGGTGTGCAGGTGAGGGAATGGCAGCAGGTGAGGGCTGGGGAGGAGAAAATGGAGATAATAATGTGATGTTTTTACGCCTTCTTCTTGATACGAGCTGGTTTTTTAGAATTCTCAAAAACCAGCAGGTGAGGGGTGGGGAGGAGAAAGTGGAGATAGTAATGTGATGTTTTGATGCCTTTTTCTAGCTCAACTCAGCACTGGGCTGCGACAGCCTTTTTGCGTCCCTTGGGGGCAGCAGCCTTGGCCGGGCTGGGGGTGGAGTGCAGGTGAGGGGTTGGATGCGGTGATGATGGGATGGGAAGGGGTGTGGTTTTCCCTGCCTTCTTCTCCCTCAACCCGGGTGTCGGCTGCGACAGCCTCTTCACGTCTGTTGGGAGCAGCAGCCTCGACTGGAGTGGAGGTGGTGTGCAGGTGAGCGGTGGGGAGCAGGTGAGGGGTGGGATGCAGGTGAGGGGATGGCGTGCTGGTGAGGGGTGGGATGCAGGTGAGGGGATGGCGTGCTGGTGAGGGGTGGGATGCGGTAGTGAAGGAAGATCTGGCGCGTGTGGGATGCATACCTGGTGGATACCTCGGGCCCATCCACCCAATCTCTCCCCCCACTAAACCAGGTTTGTTTTGAGTCGACTCAAAACACACTTGGCGCGTGCAGATGCATACTTGGTGAAAACCTCGGGCCCATCCACTAAAACGCACCCATCCATCCTTAAACTTGCTGGCTACACCAAAGGAAGCAAAAAGGAAACACCCTCCACGCCCACCCACCCATCCCCATGGGCCGTTGCACGTGTGTGTGCATACATTCCCAGTGGAGAGATCGTGAGGTTAAGCACCGAGGTATCAACTAAGTAGGCATCCACACACACCTCGATCCCCAGGCTCGTCGACCCAGTCTCTCCCCCCACCCTCCACGCCCGCCCACCCATCCCCTTGGGCCATCGCAGGTGTGTAGGCATGCAACCTGGTGGTTACCCCCAGTCCGCTCAACCCATTCTCCTCTCCCTCAATGAAGCGCACTCACCCATCTCACCCTCCGTGCCCACCCACCCATCCCTATGCGCCATCGCAGGTGTGTATAGATGCTTACCTGGTGTAAACCCCATGCTCGTGCTCCGCGCCCACCCACCCATCCCCATATGCCATCGCAGGTGTGTGTGGATGCATACCTGGTGGAAACCTCGGGCTCACCCACCCCTCGCTCCCTCCGTGAGCTCTTCTCCACTTCCCCACTCGTTCCCTCCACCCCATCCCTCTCCTTCCAATCCTCCTCTTCTTCCTCTTCCTCCTCCTCCTCTTCCTCCTCTCCCTCGTCTCTCTCAACACGAGGAAGACTGCTCATCCCCTCTCCCTCCGCTCAACCAATGAGAGGACGCCAGCTGGCGGTGTCAAAGAAGCGGTGCCTGGCGTTTTACTCAGTGACGCGGGGGGACTTTTGTGCGCGCATCATATCGCTCAAGTTCCAGAACAGTGCGAAGACGCTGGCCGACTTGAACAATGGATATGTGTGCACCAATGATAGGCTATATGTGGGGCTCTCGCTTTGCACTCGAAGATAGACGTACGAGCTTTCAAGGCGCCTAAAAAAGTTGTACTTTGGAAGGTTGTGTACCTTAACTTTGTAGGCTCTCCATTGCTGGATTGTACTTCACCTCGGTAAGCTTTCCCTTGGTCGAACGTAAGGTATGCATTGCGAAATCTAAACTGAATACCATAGTTCGTTTCCTTACGAAACACTCACAAGACTGTAACACTTATTTGTTTCGGCAATATCTGGTTTCGTGACCAAGTTTCGTCCAACCCACAGATATCCACGTTTCCAGTTCTCACGGAAACACCTGCAGCAACCTGCGCAGGCACCAGAGCCTGAACCGTCGGAACAGCCAATAGACACTCGACATTCAGCGCCACGCATATAAAGCTGTCCTCTTGTCTCTTTCACATGTTTCTTCATAAATTTTGAACAATTTTGCTAACTCCAAATGTAATCTTGTTACATGAATATTTTTTTCCATGACAAAGGTTTGTCTGCCGCTACTTGCGCTCCATCCTGGCGTCTTGCCGAGCAGAACCGAGTCGCAGGCAAAGCCTCAGTCGGTTGCCTTGCCGCCTCTTCAAAAAGCTTCTGAATGAGGTCGTATCTCCAGCAAGTGTCGAGAAGGGCTTGGTGTCAAGCGCTGTTAACGGTTGACACCAAGTGGAGCCGCGTGTGAGCGCGGCTCCAGCCTGGTGTCAATGTTGGGCACATTGGACGATTTCCCGCGATCACATTGGTTGGTTTAGCTGACACCAGGAGGGATAGTCCTCCATGTGTTTTCCGAGTTGGTGTTATGACACTAGCCCTTGCTGGAGATACGACCTAGGGCTTTGATGAGGACAACGAGGGGGATGTGCATGACAGGAGGACGTGATGAGGGAGGGGGGGGGGGGGGGGGGGTGTGGGGGGGTGGTGGGATGTGCACAAGTTGACAAAAAAGCTGCTCCATTTCAATTTCCGCGAATGACCAGTTCGGAAGAACGTACACGAGAGAGCCACGAGTAAGCAAGCAGCTTCATCTCTTCCCTTCCCCATTCGCCACCCGCCCTTCTCCTGCACTTCCTTCGAAAGTTTTACCAGGAGCTGCCTAACGACTGTGTTCATGACGAGCTCAGGTTTATGATAACGAACACGACATACTACTAGTAAAGCAGGGGATTGCATTTCAAACTCTGAGCGCGTCGTGATAGTCCGTCCAGGCGATCTAATACTGTATTTCTAGGCGTCTCGAAATACCCAGCTCTAATTTTCTTCGGCGCCGCATAAATTGCCTCGTCTGATTGGTCGAAGACTATCCGACTTTCTGAGTCGGTCTAAAAGTCACCTCCGCCGAGGGGTCCGCGGCGTCGACTGTCACCGTGACGTCCCAAAAGGGGCTTTTTGACCGTTGCTGCTCGGATCATCGAGAGCACCGCGCCTCGAAATTAGAGCAGCGTGCCTTGAGGTTATAGCAGCGTGCCTCGAGATTGGAGCAGCGTGCCTCGAGATTGGAGCAGCGTGCCTCGAGATTGGAGCAGCGTGCCTCGAGATTGGAGCAGCTTGCCTCGAGATTAGAGCAGCGCGCCTCGAGATTAGAGCAGCGTGCATCGAGACTAGACAGACCGAACCAAAGCCCCTTTTCTGTGCGCACAGCCGCCGCCATGCGCATCCTCGGTGACGTTTGTTACGCGCACGGGGCGGCGGCTCAGCAGCCATGCGATTCTCTATCGAATCCAACCTTACCACGCGCCGCCGCGCGCGGAGGGAGACTTCTCTCTTCTGAGCGGCGTCGCCGTTCAACATCCAGAAGTAGAGACTTCTTCGCGTCCCGACAGGCGTGCTACGCGGTGATCGTGCTTCTCGCCGCGCTGCTCGCGAGTGGCGGCGTCGCTGTCGCAGGTCAGTCATGCACCGGGGCCCGTCCCTTCAACCCTCCTTGCCTTCCGATTTTCCCCTTGCCCGAACGCGACTCGCGCATGCTAAGCAACAGTCTCCCCGGCCCCTCCCTCCCTTCCACTTTCCCCCCCGTCCTCCGTCCTTTCGATGCGGAATTTGAGTCGATAAAAAAGTCCAGTCGCCCTTTCCATCCGATGATTCGTGTTTATCATCAAAGCAGCTACCTCCAAGTCCATCCCTCCCTCTCCTTCCCGTCCGAGGCGACTCTTTGTCAACTCACAAGTGCCATTGGCGCCACTCTCGGCATCTAGGCTATTAAAATAGAAATCAAATCCCGTCTCTTTCTCTCTCCTTTGTCCCTTGTTCCTCCTCCCTCCCTTCCGTTACTCTCCCTGCCCTTCCCCCTCCCCTTCCCTAATCCCTGTCCCTTCCCGCTCCCCCGTTCCTCGTCTTTCCCCCGTCTGCTCCGGCGGTCCCTTTTTACATCAAGCAGCCCCTCGAAAGCAGTCCCTTTCTACATGTCTAGCGCTATCCATGCAGCGCGAATCCCGCGGTGGCCTCGGTGGCTCCCAAGTACGCGAACCGGTTCTTTCGGCTGATCAGCAGCCTCTTCGACGCGTCGACGGGGAACGTCCTTCCCCCTCCCTTCCGTTACTCTTGTTTTGAGGCGCCTCAAAACTAGACTTCCCCCTCCCTTCCGTACTCTCCCTTTCCCCTCCCCTCCCCTACTCACTCTCCCTTCCCCCTCCCCCTTTCTCGTCTCTCCCCCGTCTGTCCCGGTCCCTTGACAATATCATCTGAATAGCCCCTCGAAAGGGATCACCCCCTCGAAAGGGATCAGCCCCGAGCTACCGATGCAGCGCGAATCCCGCGGTGGCCTCGGTGGCTCCCAAGTACGCGAACCGGTTCTTCCGGCTGATCAGCACCCTCTTCGACGCGTCGACGGGGAATGTCATAACGGAAATCCTTACCAACGGTCGCAACTGGGTGGAGGACCCGCGCCTCGAGCCCGTTCTTGCGCTGCGCTCCGAAGGCAAATGCAGTAAGTGTGGCGCCACGGTGCCCGTTCATGCATGTGTTTTTTTTTTCAAGAATGTCTGCGAGGGAAATGCCTGTGAAACAAGTGCGAGATGCACCGTTCTCGCGCTGCGCTCCGAAGGCAAATGCAGTGAGTGTGCCGCGCGGCGGCTTGATGGTTTTCGAGAGTTTATCGAAAGGCAAATGCACGTGGCATGCGCGCGAGATGGCGGGGAATGGACACGCACTGACTCGCTCTGTGTAACGCCTGTGGGGCTTACACGTAAGGGTATGAGAGCATCCGCTGCGCCTCAAATACAACCCTCGTTTTGACCCAGTGGGTAGCGAGGTGTTACACTCTGGCACGCGCTGGCTCGCGATGGCACGCGCTGGCTCGCGCCAGCGAGCACACGCAGAGCGCAACGCCATCACGTGGGCGGATGCGCATGTGCTGGCGGGGAGATCCGGGGAAGAGGAGAGGGGGAGGGCCGGCGCCGAGTTGGTGGGATTCGGGGGGGAGAGGGGAGCCCAGCGAGGATTATTTCCCGGCCACGGTGGTGGTACTAGTGCTCTGGTGTTACTCACCCTTCATTCATACTCGACCTTATTTATCCCACAGAAAAAGCATTTCTCAGCCCTTCTCCACTTTCCCTCTTCTCGTCCACCTCCCCCTCACCTCCGCCCCTTCCTCCCCCCTCCCCTCCGCCCCTTCCTCCCCCTCTCCTCCGCCCCTTCCTCTCCCACCCCCCCCTCGTTCACCCCCCAGAGGCATCATGGGCAATCACAGCAGTGAGCGCGGTGGAAATGGCATACGCGTTAGTGGCTTCCTCAACGCCCTCCATGGATCCCCCCCAGCGCCTATCAGTACAGCAGGTGTGGAATCTAACGGCGTGTCACCTAGGGGCTGGGAAGCCCAAATCCAAACATGCGCATCTATTTCACTGTACGGACAGAATCCCATCTAGCTCCGAACACAAATTCGAACAGCGTGGTGAATGTGACAACTGTGCACTTCAGGTGACACCTTGTTCGAACAGGCGACGTCGCCTAGAATCAAGCGACGCGACGAGGCGTCGTAATCGTCGCTGGAGGGTTCGTCAGCCACTGCGAACACTATCCGATGCACTGCAACAGTCACAGACTAGAAACACATTCGTGCGGGAGTGAGCGGGGTGGTGACCAATCACATGTGTCGTCTGGGGTGATGACCAATCACATGTGTCGTCTGGGATGATGACCAATCACATGTGTCGTCTGGGGTGGTGAACAGTGCTGTTCGAACACACAATGTGACAAGCAAATTGCCAGATGTGACAGCTCTGTTCGGTTGGGCGAAACTTTTGACTTGCGACGTCATGAAAGCCCCTACGAGAGGTGGCGAAGCTTATAACATTTCGTCCGTTCGAATAAGAGGCTTGTTCGGATTTCGAGGCGACATGCCCTAAGCTGCTACCCAAGCACGGGCTTTAAATTGCGCAGTTACACAATGCAGTGGGGGAAGGGGGGGAAGGGTGGGGAGGAGGGGGGGGGTGCTCTCATTGCGGCAGCTCTGTGCTCTACTTCCGCCCCATCCCAGTCCCCTTGGCTTCTGCCCCGCCAACTCGCACCAGCAGCTCCGGCCGCACCGCACCCCTTCCGCGCTTCACTCACCCCCCTCCCCTCTGTCGTTTCCCGGCCCCCAAATCCCGCAGGTGCTGGAATGCAGGAACAGCACGAGCAGCAGCTGTGCGGCGGGCGGATGGCCGACGGCAGCGCTGGACTTCATGGTGGACGCCACAATGACGTGGGGGGGGCTCGCCTGCGAGGCTGGGTACGCGTACACGCAGAAGGACGGCAAATGCAACCGCAACAAGGTACGCCTGGGGGGTGGTCTGCCTGGGGGAGGTTCGCCGGGGGGTGGTCTGCCTGGGGGAGGTTCGCCGGGGGGTGGTCTGCCTGGGGGAGGTTCGCCGGGGGGTGGTCTGCCTGGGGGAGGTTCGTCGGGGGGTGGTCTGCCTGGTGGAGGTTTGCCTGGGGGAGGACGCATGGGGGAGTTTCGCCTGGGAGAGGGTGCACTCAGGATCGGTGACTTGCCCATGTATAGGACTCATATGCCTTGGTGCCCCTGCGATTGTGCCCTGACCTTGTACGGAGAGTCACTTTACAACGGTGGGAGCTGGGTGAAGACATGGGTGGTACGAGTGATTGTAGCAACTTTGCGTGTGTTCTCACTATTTGCGCGTTCACAGGACAACTTGGCAAGAGTTTCACTAACAAAACGAGTATACAAAATGATCAAAACTGCAATGGCAAA